CCATCCCACAGCATGGGAGGAGTGTGTTTGTATCCAGCTGCCTAACAAACAAGGTCCGGTTGTTCCCATCCCTGCAGCTGCCCCATGAAACAGCTGACATCTTAAAAATTGATGGGGTTCATTTCCTGCCTCTGTGCACTTACTTGAAGCACCAGCTCTGCCATTACCAGCAATGTCCACATTAATTACTATCATAACCCAAGTACCTTTGAATGCACTCCCTTGCCTGCAACGTCTGTCCCAGCAGTGACCTGCGTTTCTCTCCCCTCGAGACCTTTCGCATGACTGGGATTTCCAGCACTGCTGCCTGCAGGAATACAAAGCTGATGCTGGGATAGCCCCAGGGGAGAAGGTTGGGCAATCAGACAGGTCTGCTGACAGGTTGGTTCTGGCTCAGGCTCAGAGGCTCACCTGGAGCATGGACAGGTCCTTCCTCTCCTCCTCCCCTTGCCTCACTGAGCAGTGGGTCAGTCCTGCCCCATCTCTGGGGCATGGGCTTTTCCACACTGCATAAACAATTTAAATATTAATTGGAGACTGACTCTCTGGCTGGGTGGTGAAAGTGCTTCCCCTGGGATCGTCTGGAGTCCTCACACTGAGTCCCTTTAGGTCTGAGCCCAAGGGACCAGCCTTCAGCTTTCCACTAGTGAGTCCTTCTGAAGAGAAACCTCCAGTTTCTAAGGGAAAAAGTCAAGTTGTGGAAAACCGCCCAGCTCACTCTAAACACAGGTCCTGGGGGATGGAGACAGGCATTTCAATGCTCTGTTGGCTGCAGAAAATTGAAAATCTCATATATTTTGCATAAAATGCTGATTAACTGGTGCTAAATACAAGCATGTCTTAGACCGTGAAAGGACATGCACAAATGAGATAAAACACTAGAAATTATGAGGCAATGGGAGTCAGCAACTTAAAGAACCATCAATAAAGCTTCTTCAGCACGGACTGAATAGCATCCAACCCAAGTATCACACAGCCTAGTCAAAAGTCTGACCAAAAGTGTGCTTTGAATGCATGAACACACCAGAATAAGGACCGACAAACACAAGAGAACACAACATTCGTTCAGGATGCTTCATTCCTGCCTTTTGCTCAAAACCTCAAAACCCCATGGGAAAAAGCAAACCTACAAGCTGTAGTTCCCCAGAAAAAGGTCTACGAATTATCGTGGGTCACAAGCTGAACACGAAGTATCAGTGTCGCATCAAGAGGCAGACAGTGCCCTGGGATATATGAGCTGCAGCATGGCCTGCAAGACTCACAAAATCATCTTTCTTATCTGTTCAGGGCTGGTGAGGTCTATGCTGGAGCAGATTCTGGTATTGGCAGCTCATATCAAAAAGGAGGTGGCGCTGCTGCAGGCAACGCAGAGGAAACAGGATGATCAGAGGTCTACGAAACATGACCTACAAAGAAAGATTGAAAGAACTGGGTTATTTAGCCTAAAAGAGATGATGGAAGAAGAGATGTGATAACAGTCTTCAAGTGCTTAAAAGGCTGCTGCTAAGGGGAAGAGAATAATCTGTTCTTTATGTCCATGGTGGACAGGACAAGAAATAATCGGCTTAAATTACAGCCAGAGAAATCAGGTTAGACTTCAGGACAGAAACGGCTCGTGCAGCCAGGCAGGGGGTTACCTGGGAGGTGGAGGTGCTCTGTCACCAAAAACACTAATGCTCTTTGGGGACAGGTTGACAAACGTGCATGGGGAGAGGGGCTGTCTTGGGACAGGGCTGCACCTTCTCCATGTCCCTGTGGTGCCTTCAACATGTTGCCTGGGGCTCCTGGATTGTCCAAAGTGAGATCATCCTGCAGCAATCGCTTCATCTGGCTGGACAAATCCCAGGCATTTCAGCTTGTGAGAACCTTCAGGACAGCAAAATTTGATTTTGTAGCAGATTGGGGGCACAAGTCAACATTTTGGGTTATTTTTCTTGCAGTAAAGAAATACTTCAAAATAGATTTTCTTTTTTGCCCTCATCTTTCAGTTACTCGATTGCAACACAAATGAAGCGGAGCATCGCAGCCACGCCACACAGACAAGCTGAAATGACACAGTCCAAATGAAACCTGTTTGATAATGTCCTTGCTGAAAACAACAATGAAACCAATCTCTCCTCTCCAGACAATCGGGTGGGGTTGAATCACCAGTTCTGAGTGAATAGTCTTGCCTTGAGATGTTTTTCAGCCAGCTCAGAGGATTGTTGCTACCAGAGAGGTAAAAAGAAAACAAAAACAGGCACCTTTCCAATCCAGCTGTGCCCACACTGGGCAGCACCTGGTGTGCCAGTGGCCAGGATAGGGGATCCACCAAGGTGTCCAAGAGCAACTCAATCACTTACACTGCACTGCTGACCCTGCACCTTTTGCCTACAGATTAAGAGATTCTATGTTCTCCTGAGGTCTTATTATTATCCCTGGATTCCAAGAGCAATCCTTTATTTTAAAACCTGCCTCCTAATTCATTTTATATTTACTCATAAAATCTTGGCCAGGGTTTTGGAGAGTTGCGGTTTTTCAGAAAGGCCAAGTTTTAAATGGCGCTGACTCAGCAGAAGCTGACTTGATTGAAGCAGTGCCTGTTTGAGTTTATTCCACTCCTGGGCAGGGTTGGAAACAAAGCAGCAGAAACTGGACTGTCCCCCAGCTTTGTTTTCTCCACAGGCTCTTGGCTGTGTGCAGCAAACACTACTGCTGACCCACAGAGCTGGAACTGGTGAAGTGGAGAAGAGCAGAAGGGAGCCAGCAGACTCCCTGCTGTATATGCCATATTCTGTTGACTTAAAGTTTAATACAGCTGAGATGAGAATCAAATAAAAAGAACAAAAAGGAGGAATAATGAAAAAAAAAAATTAAAACCCTGTAAGCGATTAATTTTCAGCCTCACTGCCCAGCATCAGTCTCAAGGAGGAGACTGGGGATGCAACTAATACTTAGTTTATTAAAATATCACTCTGGTTACCCCCAGGATGCTTTGGGATAGGCAAGCCCTGCCATGGGGAAGATGGTGCCTGTTCCTTCCCACACAACAACAGGGTCACGCCGGGACTTGGAATCTTTTTAATGTAGCCCATGGAGCCAAGCCTGCTTCTGCCTTCCTTTTCCCACACTGCAATCGCCTTAGTTGTGCCTGTGGAACAGCCTGGCTTCTGAACATGATGGCAGCACATCTTGGTTGTTTGTGATCATGGGGCTATGCTGTCCGAAGTAGGTCTTGCCTGGGAGATGAGTGTCTCCTCCACAGCACTAGAGCCTGGCTTTCATTCTCATGCTCTCCTCCTCAACCAAGAGCTGGAGCTGGAAGGAGAAGATGGGTCATGGTGTATGACCAAGCTGCCATGCCAATGTGGCACTGGGGGATGCAGTGGGATCCTGTCCCAGATGAACCAAGATTCCTTCAAGGAAAAATTCATTTTAGGCTCAAGAGAAAAGCATAAAAGTGATGAAAGTTGACCATCTTCTCATACCTTGGAGAGTGCTTCTGATGTCGTCGCTGTTGTAAGGCGCTTGAGTGACAGCCAGGCTATGAAATAGGGCCAAGGGTTTTTGAATTGACAGCTTGTTCCATGCACAAGCAAAGCCTGAAAGACAGTCCAGAGCCGCTTAGCAAGAGCAGGCTAATAGCTAAGTACACAGAGGAGACCTAATGAGAACACTGGTATCTCCTAACTCCAGCTCCATTCAGAAAGCCAAGAATACGGAATTGAGTCACTTTGTATCCGATAGCCATAATGAATGTGCCAGTGGAGATGCCCAGAAAGAATAATACCATAAATTGGCAAGGTGGCAGCTGCATTCATCAGCTCAAACAAGAGCTGGTCATCCATAAAATCCAGCAGTATCAAAGACCAGTTCTTCAGCTCCAATGTTATTTCCACCTTTAAAATATGAATGGGAATACACTTGAAATTTGCCAGCAGCCCCAACAGATGTGTCACTGCTGCTGAGAGCCAATGCTGGATGGTGATCCAGGGTTTGAAATGCTATTAATTCATTACAGCAAATGCTGAGAAACATCAGGGGATTAAAAATTCCTCAATCCCCGAGTCCTCTCAAGAAGGCAGCAAATGTGTGCCTGGGGCATGCATCGATAATGGTGATAATGTTGAAGTTGAGCACCCTACACCTGGCCTGGAGGTGGGGGGGCAGCTTGCACTAGGCAGTGATTTGGAGACACCTCCAGCACAAGCTGAAATGTGGTGCCTGCTTAGCACGTGCTGCAGGGACAACACACAGGACCCTGCTGTCTCCTCTGACAGGGTTTGCCTCCAACCCGCAACACGAGCGCAAAACCACAAGGCAGCCTGCCAGCTGCCATCCTTCCCCTGGGAGCTGGGAAGGAGGGTGAGAAACGTGCTGCAAGTCCCCAGTAAACTCATGCCCGCTCCTGTCTGCTGGCAAGAGCACCCCATCAGCCGTGCCTGTCACCGCGATGGGTTCCCCTCCACCGCGCCGATCCCCGGGAGAGTTAGTGCCGTGTTATCTTTGCCTGCCACCAGCATCACTGCTGCTGTATTTACCAGGGAGCTATTTGTGCAGGGAGATAACTTCCCTCCAGGATCGCATCCTGCCTTCCCCTGTGCAAAGGGATGGGACTCCCGCTGTCACAGGACTCTGATATTCTTCCAGGGGGGAATTGCTGGGTGCAGGGGAGGTTTGCTCGCCCCAGAGTGGCTCACAATGCAGGGAGAGGAGCAGTGAGTCCCTGCTGAGGACTTTTTTTTTCTCCTTTGCAGGAGAATAAGGGTGATTTGAAGCCCATGGGCTTCCAGGAGTTGTGCAGCATTATTTCTGTGACAGCTAATGGAGCTCACTCAATCCATAAAGATTTTAAGTCAAGGGTTTGATGTTAATTATGGACCAAAACATTTAATAGCCCGTTACACTTCCACAAGGCATTTTTTTAATTAAAAAATGATATATTGCACAAAAGGGGGGAAATAGGGAGAGAAATAATTGAAGATTGCTTTATTCCAGAACAACCTGAGGCAGGGAAGGCAGTAAGGAGCTGACGTGTTGGGGAATGTGATGGCAACACCACAAGCATGGAGCTGGCGGTGCAGGAAGCCAGAGAGGGAGCAGCCTCATCCCACTGGGTGAAGGTGCCCAGGGAAGGGGAGAACAGCCTGGCCAGAGGCAGGTAGGTGGAAATCCAGGTCAGTCTTTTGGCCACCACACTGGTTTATCCTTACCTGTTGAGTCCTTAGTTTGTGCTGCAGAGGATGTGGTTTCAAATCCCTCTTTTCGACTTTCTATCAGCTGTCTCTCAGGAAAAACAGCTAAACCTCCAGGGTGGAAATTATTCTGGAAGAGGTCAGGGATGAAGAAAATCTGACATGTCTGGCTCTGACGTTACTCTGTTTTTCATTCAATATTAAAGATGCATAGGAGCAGGGGCTGGCCTGAGATGCATTCAAATAATCTGTGCAAAGGAAAGGTCTTCAGCAGAGCAAACCAACACTTCCCCTGCCTTGAGCAGTGCCCAGCAGCTGGTGGTCTACAGGCAGGGAGGAGCAAAAGACAGCCCAGGAGGGAGCAGCTCCGGGTGGAGGCTGTTATTGGACTAACTCACGGAAGGAGGAAGAGAAGTGGGATGGAAATGTGGCCAGGGGCTGACTAGGAAAAGTTAGTGTGACTGCTTAAAATTTGAAGTAGCAGGAGTATAATACCCAAGTCCCTGGCCATGGATGGACCCAAGTCCTCCCATGTCCCCAGCTCTATGCCTTGCTCTTGTGCTCGTCCCTCAACTCTACAACGGGAATAATATTATTCCCTCCTCACAGGGTTTTGAGATGCTCAGTTACTATGGTGATGGGGCCATAAAAGTACCAAAGATAGCAAGAACAATAATAATATCAGACATGGTAGAAGCCAAATAATTGCATTTAGGGCACGCACGCAACACAAAAGGGAGAGCCACCTCCATGCACCACGGCTGTCAAACCCCAAAGACAAAACTTTTGTTGTATCAATGGGCTCGCAGCCTACTTAAAGGGCTAACTCCCAATTCCTGCAACATCCACCCAACGAGGTGGCCATCAACAGCTGCAGCTCCAGGACTGGTCCTACCTCTCCACAATGCCAGCCAGGACAAGGGGGGAGCAGCAGGGCTGACGGCCCCTTGCCAACACAGAAATCAAACGTTCCTCTCACCTCTGCTGCAACACAAGGTCCCCACAGATGTTTGGCTGCTGCATTGTGTGACCAGCTGAGTGTCCTTCGCCCGGAGAGGTGACTGCGCCCAGCACAATGCCGCTGACAGCTTGCTCCTTTGACTCTGCTGAGCAAAGCCCTTGCCTCATTTTGTTTTTTTTTTTTTTAATTTATGGGTTTTTAATTGAAAAAAATGTATAACATCTGTGGCTGTTTAACAACACCTGTGCGCTACAAGGCTGCTTTTCAGCAGCGATTGTCACAGCGTTCTCATCTGGGCAATGCTGAGCCGGTGCCATGTGGCCTCCTCTGAGCAGCTCAGGCAAGAATGATGCTTGGAGGGCACGTAATTAACAGGCAATGGAAAACAAGATGTCATGAAAAAAATATGAGAGACATCCCTTCAAACAAGGGGAAAGCTTAGAGATGAGCAGGTGATGAGTTTGTAATGGTTCACCTGAAGAAATGCTGCTGGCACTCACAGGGAGAGCTGGGCTGCCAACTCAACTCTGATGTTATGGCAAGAGGAGGTGTCAAAGGGGATTTGGCCTTTCCATCAGCATTGTGGGCAGTGTTTGCACCCCAGTCCTTGCTGGGCACCCACTCTGCGGCTGCCTCCAGCTCTAGCCCAGGAGCTGCCTGCTCCATGAGGGAGGCACAGGCAAGGCTCGTCCTCTTCGTACAGCAGCTCTTTACAGCAGCACGTGCCACCACAGTGACTTACTGCTCTGGTATTTGCTGAGCCCAAGGGGGCTGTTGGCAGCAAGAATGCAAACTGCCCTTCTGCCATTTACACAGCTGCTGTGGGGACCTGCCCTGCCCATCCCTGCTCTGACAAACATTTGCACATTTGCAGCATCCCAGATGCGGGCTGGGAGATGTCACCACTAGTGCTGTGGCATGAGGCACAGGGAGCTGCCACAGCCCTGGCATTGCCAGCTGTGGACACAGCAAAAAAAACCAAAACCCAGAAGGCAGCAGACACCCCCAGATGGCTGAAAGCCCAGAATCCTTCTCCTTAATCTTAAGGTCTGGAGGCCAGCACCCCTCAGGTAGTTTTTACCATGAGTAAGGAGGTCCTTAAGCTCATTGCTCAGTGGCTCGTTTGCCACTCAAATCCTCATGGCTTTGACAGCCCTGCGTGCTGAGGCAGCTCCTACGGAAAGCTGCCTCCTTGCAGCATCTCCCAGGGCTTGCTGTGCAGGTGCTGGCTGTAACAGTTTGGCTGTTCAGAAAGCACAGAGCAGCCTGGGAGGCTTACAGGTGCCTCTTACATTTCTACAAGCTCATGACAAGGCTGCTGGTAGCATGAGTGGGCAAGGAGCAGTGAGGACACAGTTTCGGCTGTGCCCAGGCTGAGGTTTCTTCCTTGCAGGAGCCTCCCTGTACAAAGCTGGAGGAGGTTTTATCCACTACTCACAGCTCTGGGCAGCTCAGGCTGCCCTGAAATCCCTCTTCCCACTGTGACTTGGTAAATAAATAAAACCCTGTTCCCTGCTGAGCTTGGTAATGGAAACAGGGCTGCTGGGGCCGCAGACAACCAGGGCTGGCAGGTAGCAAGCAGGGGCCAGCTGAGAGGTTTGGATGGGGAATAAAGAAGCAGCAGTGCAAACATTTCCGTGTCCTGCCCTTTGTCACTGCAGCTCGGTAACACCCCTGTGTAACACGGGGTATTTGAGCAGATCCCCTCCTTGCACATCCTCGGTGCAGCCCCCACCACTCTCCCCGTCTGCACAGCGACCATCAACGTCCCGCCCCCTCCCTCACTCACACGTTCAGGCTATGAATTCCCCTCGTCCCTCAGAGTACATTAAAAATCAATGTAATTACACAGCAAACATTAATTACGATCAAAAAAGGCAATTGAGAGGGATTGATCTGGAGGAGAGTTGCAGCTAGCCACCAAATTACCAAAAATCAAGTCAATGGGGCTGAGGCCATGGGGATATGTGGCTGGTCCAGACCAGCAAAGCATCCTTAGAGATATGTGGCTTAACCATTTCATTCTCTGGTTTCTTTTATTTGCTTTTCCACTTTGTGGTGTAAGCCAAACAGAGAAGTGGATAAATTTAATGTGTGTTTAAATATACCTAGGTGCCCTGGTATGGCTGGTAAGAGAGCATGAGACAGAAAGCAAATTGTTTGTCTCCACCTGGTAATCCCAAGGACAGGGCTAATCTTGCTTGGGGTGAAACTTCATCCCTGTTATGGAGGTGACCTCCATGCAGATGCTTCTTCAGTTGGTTGTCGAAGCTCTCCCAAGGACAGGGCTCCCACACACCCCCTTTACAGCCTGCACAGGCTTTCAGCCAACCTTGTCCTTAGGAAGCTTTTCCTGAGCATCTAACCCAAGACCTCTTGGCTGCAGTTTAAGCCTATTACAGCTTGTCCAACCCTTGACAAATTGATCACTATCATTTTTATAACTGCTTTTTTTCCACACTGATGAATGTTATACATCCTCCCACCTTCAGTTGTCTCTGTCCTGGAGCACAAACCAGCTCCCTCAGTCCATCTTCCTGGGGCATGTTTTCCAAACTCTGTGAACTCACTCCATTTATCTGAATCTCTCTCAGAGTTTTGAAGCCAAAACCTGGAGATATATGTCTCCAGCTGATGCCTCACTAGCACTACATAGAGCCAAATAAATTACTTTGCTGTCTTCCATCTGAAACTATTAATACATCTGTGGGCAAGTTGTGCCTTTGCTCTCCCTTCCTAAAGCACCAGGTTTGCTGCTCAGTTTGAGAGCTACTCCACCACTCAAGCCTTGGCCACTCTCGTGCTGGCTTACCAGTCCTTCCCCATCTTATATCTGCGATTTTGATATCGCCTCCCTAAGTGCAACACTTTGCACTTGACTTTATTGAATTTCAGTGTATTGATTTCAGGCCATTTCTCCAATTTATCAAGATCATTTTGCTCCGAGGAATCTTGCAGCAGCTTGTCTTATATCTGCTCTGTTGACAAAAGGTCTTAAGACCTCAGGGCTATCAAGCCAGGGCTTTGCATTAGTCCTTAAAATAGTCGGAAAAAACTACATGGGAGTCATGGGGACAGTGGAGGGTGGAAGTGACAGGCTGGCTCACACAGAAACAGCCTCATGCTGCCACCTCAGCCAGGCAAGGAGCAGAAGCCATAGAAGGAGATGGAGCAAGGAAGATGGAATGCTAATGGCTCCCCGAGGGTGAGAGTAGGGATACTTGCTGAGAGATGCTGGGACCCTGCTGCAGCCCTGGGGACAGCCCTGGAGCAGGGGGATGGAAGGGAGATGAGGACTGGGATTTAATGGTCCCCTCTTTCCTTTCAGGTCACCATGTGATGAGCTGTTCCCACCTGGGGGCTTGCCAGCAGACCAGAAGAAGCCCTGCAGCATCAGGCATTAATGGCGCTATTTGGGGACAGCAGAAACTGGAGTAAGATGGACAGAAATCCACCCTGGTGTGCACAAACCAGGTGAGATGGTTTTACTGTTATTGTTGTTATTATTACCCAGAGGTTGGACTGCTCCACTGTTTAAGGCAGAAAAAGAATCTTGGGAAGCTGCTGCTTGTTCTAGGGTGGAAGGAACAACTCCCAACCCTTCTGCTTGGGCACACTGTGAAAAAGCACAAGGCTTTGGACAAACATTATGGATCTGCAACAGCATCCACCTTCCTACCACACTCACCTCCCTCTGCTTCTTCCACAAGATTGCCAACAGCACCTCCCCCTGCCTCCTCCTCCTGCCCCTTAGGAGGGGTGCAAAAGCACCTCCTGCAGAGCTGCTTCCTGATAAGTCCCCTTTTTATCTGTGGAGGGGCAGGGGGGCAGGTGAAACAGCTGAGCTTCAGCTGCTGGCACAGCAGAAGGGCTGGGGAAAGCATCGGGAGAGAGCTGCAAACAAACCTGACAAGGAGGAAAAGCAGAGGTGTGATGGAGGGGCTGGAATAGCTTGGGAGGGGGCAGTGAAAATGCTTTCCTTGGGGAAAGGCTGGCAAGCCTCAACTGGAAAAGGGACGGCAAGGAAGAGATGGGAGAACTCCTTCAAGTGTGGAGGTCATGAGGAGAAAAGAGGAGAGAGGTTTGGGTAAAGCCTTGACAGGCTTAGGAGCTCACCTTGGCCCTTGCCACGGTAATGATGCAGAGACAGACGTGTGATAGGCCCTACTCTGCACACACTTTAAAATCTAAGTAGCTTATGAATAAGTAATAATCCCTTATTCCCAGAGCCATAATCTATATTTAATTAAGAAAATAACTAAACGGTGGCAGTAGAAGGGGCTGTGTGGGGAAATGGAGACAGGAACACTGTCAGATAAGCTGCAGTAAGAAGGGGAATAAACAGCACTCTCAGCATGGCAGAGGCAGCAGAGTCCTGGCCTCCAGCTTGGCTGCAAACTCAAGGTAGCCTGGCCTTCAGAGAACCTGTCTACAGCAAAGTCTGCCACAAGAAGCTTCTTAGGTCAACAGGTGAGCTGCAGGTTGGCCAACATGGACTCATTCATATGCAAGCGTGAATTTTCTCTCCTGTTCAGTCCTGGTGGTGATGCTGGACTGTGCACGAAGAGCACTGCACCCAGGTGCCAAAGCAGTCCAGATCCTGTATGGGAGCATTCAACAGCACCCAAAACTCCACCTTCAAGGCTGCTACAACAAGCTGTCTTACAACATTTCTGTGCTCAGTGTCCATTGCCTCCTAATGTCTGGCACTGGCAATTCAAAGCAAGCCCTGCAGCTGGCTAGCACATAGGGCTGGCATGCTGTTGGGCTGGAAGGGGCCATGCCAGCCCAACACCGGGCCAATGCCCAAAACATGTAGAGATGTTCATACAGTGCATGCAAGGGCTTGTCAGCCCAGGCCAGAACCCACGTCAGTGTTCTGCTGGATCCCTTGATGCACTCCTGGGACCATCATCCTTCTCAACATCAGCTACTTCTCAGGGGTCTTTGCCAACTTGGAGCCTGTGCCAAGGAGTCTGGCTTTTCTCCTGGTCTCTGCACTGACAGTGCTGTGGATGGTGCTGATAGCTCTGATCAACCTCTGCTTTGAACAAGAGAGGAAAAGATGGACAGCAGTGTGGCCATAGATAGTCCAAGTACTCTGCACCTGTCCAGAGCCCCTCCAACACCCTCAAAAGCACTTCCCAGCTACATCCCCAGACCTTTCCCACATGGCATCTTTCACCGGTTCCCCAAAGCATCACTGCAGCCTTGCTTCATTAACTATGTTTTACTTCTCACTCAATTCATGGGGTCTGCAGGTGACCTGCTCCCTTGCATTGCAGTAGTGGAAATGAGAGCACGTTTTAAAGGCTGGGTTAAAGAGAAGAAAAAAAATCTCAGTCCACATACTATACATTATAAATAGACCGTCTGGTTTTTAAATTGAAAAACAACAATAATCACTGCTAAGAGCCTGCTGAACAAAAACAGCCTTATTACCACTGGGACAAATTCATATTTACCAAAAGAACACGAGTATTTTTCAAGCTGCTCTTGAGTTCCTGAAGTTGCTAATGTCCTGCTGCTTCCCCTCACTGCTGTTCCTGGGAGCAGTGGGAGACGGAGGCGCTGCAGGGATGTGTGGGCAGTACCAAGGGGGGACAATCTCTTTGGCTGTGGGCAGGAGAGAGGGAGGAAATTTGGGGCAGGCTCAGCTAAGCCAGGCTGCAAAGAGAGATACCATCAGTTTTTAGTTGCCTTCTTTTCCTCTAACTGCTGTTTTATGGCAGAGTGACAGGAGGTCTGGAGAAACCTGGGTGAAGAAACCTGGATATGCCTGGGTGGAGATAAAAAGCAAGGATGGGACAGGCTGTGTTAGAAGGGGCACAGCCATTCTTTCCATTACTATTAAGGAACAGAGAAAAGCACAACTTCCAGAGAGGACCTGGTGTGCACAGAGTACATCAGTGCACAGTGTCTTGTGAAGGTCACCCGTCACTTGTCCCTGTGAAGGTACTGCTGAGAGGTGAAAGTATGATCCAGGGTAGATGGGTGGACAGGTGTAGGAGCTGCAGGGACTTCTTGAATTTGGATTAGCAAGGGGGATAACTGAGATAACTACCTCACTTTCCGATGACAGCTGTCCCACTCCTGATAGCAAGGTCCAGAGATGTGCAATGCATGTGCTGAGGGACCTGGAAGTAGAAGGATGGGATCCCCAAAACTGCCTGCCCTCCACTCCTTGACCAGAACAAGTGACTGGAGCAAGGAGATGGGTCTGCAGAAATTGTCATGGGGGAGCAGGATGCACCTCAGCAGGATGAAGAACATTGCCACCAGGCATCCAGGCTGTCCAGAGGGTGCAGAGCAGGCTGAGTTCTCATACAGCACAGACATATGAAAGGAAAATTAAAACAGCCCCATGCCAAGGTCCTGAGATCTTTCTTTCCTCTCTTCCCAGGCCATAGTACAGTGAGATCACTAGAAGCCAAGTGCTGGCTGCTAAATCTGATCTGTCATGCACTTTGGGAACAGCACGGTGCCACAGAAGTCATCAGTGAGCTGAGAAGGTGGCTGCCAACCCAGAGCCGGGAGTGTGGCTTGAGCAGGTGGAGGACTGGAGCCGGTGGAGGGAACACTCTTTTATCTGGGTTTCAGTCCCTGCATCAGAGGCCTGGACAGCATTAGCCATTACTGATCTGGAGCCAGCATCTGGATGGCTCCACAAGAAACTCACACTTGTTGGATCCCTGTCTGGGCACTGTTTCAGGCACAGCTGCCAGCGGGCTCATGCAGTTGGCCTGTCCTGTGCAATGATCAGCACAAGTGATGTGGGACTGACATCCCACAGCCCTGGCCACAGTATCAGTTATTCTGAGCAGAGCTCTGGAGCAGCCATACCCTTGGAGATGAGGCTAAGAGGGTGTTCTCTCTGCTGGAGTCTGAGTTCAGCCATTGATGAGGAAGCACAGACTTGTAAGGCTGACCTACCAAGTGATGCCGACTGCTCCATGTTGGAAGTTGTCTTTCTGAGGGCAGCACGAAGGTTCAAATGTTACGGAGAAATAAGAAAGGTGCAGCCTTGGAGATGGAGGAGAAAGGAAAGGAACAAAAACAATTTAATAATGAATATATTATGTAGACATGTCATGCCTCTTGCCTGCTGGCATGGATTAATATCCATAAATCAAAGAGGAAGGGACTGTTTTTAATGCTGGAGATGGATGCTGGTCCTCAGAAAATTGCTAAGGGGGCATTAATGAGCAGAGACATCTGGGAATGGCTCCAGGTGCATTGGCTGCATGCACAGGAAATTCTGCAGAACCGCTGTCAGCTAAAAATTACTCCTTTGCTGTGGATGCGTGTGGTCCATGAGGGCAAAAGTGTGGAAACCACACGTCCATATGTGGAGGCATTGGTCAAGCTTAGGAGGAATGTAGATGAGCCCTGGCTTCTCTGCTCCACAAGGCAGCTCCTTGTCTTCTTGTACACCGGGAAAGTCGGCCCCAGCTTTTGACTCTGCTCTGCAAGAAGGTCCACACAGACTAAATGACAGGACAACCTCAGCCTGTGAAAGCCAGGAGCCAAAACTAAGGTGGGGTATGCTATTATATCCACCCTGCCTCTGCTGGGCATGCAGACACCAGAGACAGGAGTCAGGGACAGTGTCATCTCACGGCCACCACAATTGCCTTGACTCAGAGGATGAGGAGTGGCACCTCTTCCTGCTGTTTCATTAAGCATTGGATAGGTCAAAAATAAGGATAGCCCCTTGGTACTAGAAGGAGCCCTCCAAATGTGAAAGAAGGAGCTCTGAGGTTATACAGAAGGGACAGAGGGCAGAGGCTCAAAGCACAGGATGCGCCTCCCTACAGCATTTCTGGAGCCCCACCTGAGGGTGGCTGGTGGGTATCTGGGCAAGAGGCAACTGCCCTGCTCAATGGGCACAAGCCCTAACACATTGATCAGGGTCTGCCCTCCTTGGGGTATTTCCCTTTCAGCAGCAAAAGGCCCCTCCCAGGAGTGGGACCTTTCCCATTCCAGGGAAGGCTCTGTGTAGCAGGGGCTGTTATCAGAAAGGGGGGAGGTCGCTTCTGCTGTCAGCGTTTTTTCTTAAGGAGAGGGTATTGAGTGCCAGGATTTCGTTAATCACATTTCATGTGCATTTTAAAACCCTTGAAACCTTAACTTTTTTTAAGAACATCTCTTGCTCCTCTCCCACCCGCCCTGTTAATCTGGCAGCGGTGGCCTCTCATGCCTGCTCTCCCTCTGCCCTTCCCGGGACCACCTCCTTCCACTCGCACTGACCCACTTTAGCCGTCAAGATTTACAGCCAGCGGCTCACCCGGGGAGAGAGGCTGGATTCACAGAATAAATTTGCAGAGCCAGGCAGCCAGCCGGGGACGAATGAACAGGAACTGGCTCTCCAGGAGAGCGAGACACCTACGCCCGCGTGCACTGGGAGAGGCGAGAAACCCGCCAGGGAGATGACTGGGAGCAAAGAATGCTAAGAAAGCACACATCCACAGCATGAATGGATTAGAGGGGGAAAGGGGAAAGAAAACAATGCAGGAAGCCAGCAAGGGAGGGAAGGGTAGGACAGAGAGAGGCACAGAGCATTGGAAGGGAAGGCCCACCAGCCAGGCAAGGAAAGAAAGCCCACCACAGAGCAGCTGCTGCTTTTTAGGTTGCACTGCAAGGGGTTGTGTGATTTGGGAGAAAGCTTAATCTTAGCACAGGGGGAATCTGCTACCCATGAGGGTGACAAGGGTCATGGGTAGGGCAGGGAAGTTGCTGGAAAGTAGGGAAGTTGCTGGCTTGAAGGAGGGAAGGGGGAGGCTTGGAGGATGTTGAGTGCTGCTGGGACTGAGCTGTAGAGAGTGAAAGGAGTGATGGAGGAGGCCGAGCATTTGGAGATGCCTCAGCATTTCAGGGCTTATTTAAAATGAACAGCGAGCTTCTTTGAGGTTCACCTCATCTGATGGAGCAGCCCCAGGTCCTGACAGCAGAGCAGAAGCAGCTGCTGTCCCAGAGTCCCAGCAGAGGGATGGAAAACACAAGCATGAGATCCAGAGGGCTGCTACAAGCAAATCCATGTGGCAACATCAGAAAGCCACGCTGGGGCTGAGCTCAGAGAGCAGGGAATCACTGTCTGTCTCTCTCTCTATTTTTCCTGATTTTATTGTGTTTTGTTTAATTGAATCACACACACACATGCATGCAAAGCCCCAACTTGTGGTGTAAAGTCTGTAAGGAAACAAGCAGCAAATTAACGTTCCAGGAGGAGCGATGCTAACCAAGCACATGACACTCTGCACAAGCTGCAAGCAGGAATGAAACAGCAGGAAGAAAGAGGAAAAACTGGCAGAGAGGGAAGAGGGAGCTGCAAAGGGGTTTCCAAGGGGAAATGGAGCCCAAATAAAGCAGAACAAGGGAAGGAGGAAAACCTGAAAGGAAAAGGGAGAGGGCAGCAGAGATGGTACTGCTGGTTCCTATAAGGTCACTGTGCCCAAACTCTCACTGATCCCTGTGTGGAGCACTTTAGTGCACAGGGAGAGAAAGCTCACACAACCTGGGGCTGAGGCATGGCTGGGCTGAAAGGACGTGGCTCAAAGTCCAAGGGGTCCTTCAGTGCTCCAGGGCACTCCTGCCCAAATAAGAACAAAAGACCCCTCTGGACCCAGTACCCAAGTCCACCTAGGCCACTGTCATGACCAGCTTAGCTTCTCCTGGCATGGCAATTGTATCCTTCCCTTAGCTCTCAGCTCAGCTTGGACCCCCACTCCCCTTCCTCTTGCAATGCCTGGTGTACCTCCAGCTCCACAAAGATGCTCATCCTCAAAAAACATTGGATACTGCAGAATGATGGACACTCTGCAGTGATGGAATGAGACCATGACATGCTGGGGATGTGCTCCAGCACTCCCCAGGCTCCTCATCCCCACGGAGCTCCACCCCAGTGGCACCATCCAAACACGGGATAACCTGTGCAACCCTCAGCCCAGCCCAGTCAGCCAACCAGCAATCTGTGACCATGTGCAGAGGGCAGAGACACCAGAGGGAAAGGAGCATCTCCATGTGCAGACAGGCAGCTCCCTGGCCTCTCCTCACCTCCCAGCTCACCCCAGCTCCTGAGAGGCTGGGAGGCAGCACAACACCGATCAGCCGCTCCACAAGATGTGATGCTCTTCAGCACAAGAAAAGTGCAGGGTTAAAGGACATGAGCATCCTGCCCAGGCTTGCTGTGACAGGCCTCACATGTGTTTAGTCATATCCAGCCATGAAGCCACTCTGGAAACCAAGACATTTATTCAAAGGAGCAGCAGCACTGCACACCCATCTGCCTGTGTAAAGGAGAACTTCAAAAGGGCTGACAGTCACAGAGCCCAGCAGTAACCTTTGGCTAATTAGCTGTCTTGATTTCCTTGCAGTTTATTTTTACACTTCTTGGGCTCTGAAATGCATTTACTGTAATGTCAGAAAGGCCATGGTAAATATAAAGCTTTCTAGCAGTAACTATACCCACCCCACTGGGCTTTTGGGACTGACAGCTACAGCTTGGCTTAGGCCAGGCTGACAATGCTTTGCTGAGGTTTTTGTCTTGCACAGGACTTACAGAGATTGTGATGGTGGGAATGATAATGGTGCCTGGGGCAAAGCAGGTATCTGTATGGAGCACAATGAGCACAGAGCAGAGGGTATATGTAATGGTGTTTTCCTGAGGTCAAATCCCAAATAAGCAGGAAAGACAGAGGGGCGAGGAAGCCTGCAGGATGCAAAGCCATGAGCCAGCTCAGGAAGGAGAGATGAGGTCAAGGAAAGCAGGCAACCTGAAAGGAGTGAGTGATGCTGAACCTGCAGAGAGGAGCAGGTGGGACCCCATTCTAAGCATTGAGGAAATCATTAGCTGGAGCTGTTGCTCAGAGAGCCTGTAGAAGCCACAGAGCCTTCCTGCTCCAGGGCAGATGAGAAGGGAGCTGAGAAAGACACCGTTGTTAGATCTCAAACAATAAGGGATTTTCAAGCCCCAAGCCCTGTTGAGGTGGAAGATGACAGTGCCTATTGAGGCAGGTCACTCTGCTTCCATCCCACCTGTGCTTGAAATAAGTCTGTGCTTCACTGCACAGTGCCACAGACACGCTGTGTCCTTTGCCAGAGGGGTTGGGACTGTGCTGGCTGACTGACACCCCCTCAGTCTCAGCAGCTCCTGCACTCCACAGACTGGAGCAGGTCTGTATGTCACCACTGATGAATTCCACTTGGCCAAGGTGTTGGGGTTAAGGTGAGGGTACCCACAGACTGAGTTACTCCTGCTTCTCTCTGTAGGGACATCCAGTCCAGGCTTGCAGAGCATTTGCCTTCTGCAGGCTCCAACCCTGGCACTGGGCACAGACGCTGTCAGAGCTGCACTGTCAGGAAATGGGAAGGGTAAAAAACAGCTTCATTATCTCTGCTGATCTCCAGCACAAACCACTCAACACGTGGCTCCCCCTGGACTGTGCACAGAGAAAATCAGTGGAAAGAAACCAGAGAAGAAACCAATGCATTAATGATCGGAAATGAAGCAAAGCTCCTCTGCCCCCAGATCTGGCAAGGAGACTTCTGAGTACCTTCAGATGGGTGGCAGGCACCCAGTACTTCAAACAGCCTCCCCGCTCCTGTCTGGCTGGGTGTCAGTCTCAGGACTGTTCTGGTTACCAGTTGGGAGAACTCGGTCCCAATTAAAATCCAGGCTCTCATATCCTTTGAACTGCAGAGAAACAAAACTTGTGAATTCAACCTTTGCCTTTTTTTTTCCCAAATGATGTCAGGAGTTGAGGAGACAGAACAGCTCTGAGTGCAATTGCTGTTGAAAGCTGCTGGCTATTTCAGCGTGCTGCTTGAACTCCACTGGTGGAGGCTGCGCTGGCATTGGTAGCTCCAGATCTTTAATTTTAAGGGTCAAATCATTATAGACTCTCTCAGGGAAGTTAATAGGAAGTTTACCTTTGACTCAGCTATGTAAAATCAACAAGAAATTCCCATCTGATCATAGTTATACACTGTCCCATCTCCAGTCACGAGCATTCCTTCCTACACATTAAACTCATGTTATATTTTCATTTTTAAGCCCACTCCTACAATTAGAGCTTGTGCTGCCTGATCAGAACCAAAATGTCTCAGATGACTGGCAACGAGACAAAGGGCTTGATTTAGGGGCTGACTTCAGCCAGCACTCAAATCTGAGTCTCCCCACTTCTGCTGAGGTTCAGGTATCTCAGGACTGAGCTCTCTGCTGGGATAATGCACCTGCAAGGCACAGCATGGCTCTGTTCAGCCCCTGGGTGAGCAGCCAGTTGGGCCCTGGCTACTCCTGAAAAACTCTCTGGCTTTCACCCAAGCACCTTAAAAGCCCTTTGTACCAACAACCTGCACCTGGGTTGCTTTAAATGATGAATACGATGGGCACAGCTTCAAAGCATCTTAAATATCATCAGGTTTGTGAGCAGAGCAAGGCACTTTGGAGCCTACAGTCTTAACACCCCACACAGGGTGATGGTGAGCAACAAGCACTGAAGGCTTCAGTGACAAGGAAGGAGTTATTACATTGCTCCAAGCAGACAAGGAGAGACATGCAGCACCGAGCCCCCACCCCCATCATCCCTTTTATTGCCCATCCCAATATATCTTGGACAGATGTCTGTGATGCCTGTGCAATCCCAGCCCTCTGACACGGCCAGAGCCATGGCATGGTACAGGGAACTTTTAAAGGAGTGGGTACCATTCAGGAAGGGAGGTCATGCATATATACCTGCATATAAATTATTAATACCCTCCACAAGACAGCTGCTGGCTGTATCTACAGACTCTCTCCACTGACGCCTCTCTCTGAGTCATGGCTCTGTAAAGTTCCTTGACAGACCTGGAGGATGAGAGATGTGGTAAAATCCCAAACATGAGTATTGCATCAAAGGTACTGTGATTATCAGAGCACAGATAAATAACAGCTTCCTCACAATTTCAGGGGTGGGGGTAGTGCTAGAGCTGTCTAACCAGCCTCCTGGAGCTTTCATCCCAGTGGGGTGGCACTGGCACAGACTCCATATCCAGGGACACTGTGTCAGTGCTTGTGGCTCCAGGGCCAGTCTCCAAGATGCTCCGTTGGGGTGCAATGAAGGTGTTTGTCCATGATGCTGGCAGAGGAGCTGGGGAACTCAGCAAGGAGCTGGTGGGTGGACTCGAGTGGGATTTCTCCTGCATGGAGAGCTCTCACAGTTCTCCACGCATGCCTGGCTGTGTAAGTCACTCTTTGTTTAGCCGAGGCTCATGAGAGACTTTTAGAGGCTGTTGTACACTAATGGTGGGAAACTGCCCCACGGATCTCCACGTATGGACAGAGAGGAGCTGGAGCCCAAGGCACCATGCAGTGCAAAATGAAGAGGGATGGCTGAGTCTCCTCTCTCCCAACGATTTTGCTTCTTTTCATTACCATTATTTTCCCCAGGCCTTTCACCTGCTCTGAATCTGCTGCTGCCTCAGCCACCCAAGATGTGGGAAGGATACGTGAGCATTCTGATGGACACAACAGCCACTTCCAACAGCAGGTACTCTGCACTGCAACAGGCATTCACATTTACAACCACTATTCCAACAAGTCCTTGAGGCTGGACAGAAGGTTTTCCACCCATATGATGCTGGAGTTGTGCTCTGTGGGATAGCTGCGGTCCTGAGGAGTCAGGGCCCACATACAGCCCTGCTCTGCAGCACTGGGCTCCGAGGCATGGGGACCTGCACTGGGAAAAAGACCCCACCCCACTTTGGGAATAGACAAGAAGCAAGACACCAGGGAGGATCATTACTTTCATAGTGGGTTTACTAGCAGAGAACTCTGCTCCTTCCAACTCCATCTCTCTGCAGAGTCAGTGACTCCCCCCACCACGTATTGCATTTTATTCTATAAGTGCAAAGCAGTTTCCATTGAGGGTAGGGACACTGAAGCACAGAGAAAGAGGAGAATAATATCTTATCTTTCTTTAATCCCCACCATCCCAAAGGATCCTGGTGCCATTTGCTTTACTTTCTATATGTATGCACAGTTAATTAGCATTACCATAGAACTGCAGGTATTCTCAGACTTAGTAGAGGGAATATCTTGTAATAGAAGGGTAAGCAAATTGTTTCTGCTGTTTCCATTGCAGCCAACTTTGATTATCCAGGGTAATGGGATAACAGGGACAAAGCAAAAACATGGATAACATGAGACCTGTGCAAATTAAGCTAGGAAAAAAAAAGTGATGCTGAGAGTAATGGAGGAAAAAAAGGTCAGTGATACTGATTAAGGAGCATGCAGATCCCTGCACTAGCACTGCCCTAAGCTCAAGAATCCATACACAATGGTAGCTGGGCACAGTAGTTATGGAGCAAATCTATAGGGTCTGTCACTGTGAAAGGGAAGCAGAGACATCCCCTGCACAGCAAAGCTGAGCTGCAGCTGAGGGAGGCGAATTGCATTAACGCCGAGCATTTCAAAGCCTCTGTGTGAGGGATTTGTCATTAAAATGAATAAGATTTGGGCACTCAACCCACCTCCTCTCTACTTGAGCAGGAAGAAGCCCAATTTAAAGGTCAGCGTCTTAATGGTTTTCGCTGTGTATATACCAGGATAATTCCTCTCCAAACAGAAATCCAGCACCTCCTCGGTGAGCCACAGCCAGTGTTTGAAGGAGCACAACAAGAGCATCCATAGCTGAGGAGGCATAGGAATACAGACAGCTATAGCTTCTATGTTAAAACAAGAGGGCAGAGGCTAAGAGATGACTTCAACTTCATCTCCTTGCAATATGGCCCAAGCTGAGGGAAGGGAAAACACTTGAGTTCCTCTGTAGTCCCCCATCTCAGAAAAGACCGGATTCACTCTGCTCTGCCAAAGGGGATTTTCAAATCCTCGGCACCAATATCATGGAGGCAGCTTTGAAAAGACTCTGGTTGTGGGTGGATAAAAAGGGCACCAGTGGAGATGAGACAGAAAGAAGAGAGAGAGGAATCTTAGGGGAAGATGAACCTTCTTAATAGGTTTTATTGATTTAACCCAAAGAGAGAACAGTAGGGGGAAATTCATGCCATTTAAATGCAAACCAGCAATAAAAATAATCATTACAGTCATAATCTCAATCTGTTAGCATTTTATGTAGAAATGATCTTAATGGGAAATATTTTTCGTGTAAACTATTTGCATTTACTTAGTACGAAGGAGCCTCTTAATTATAACTCAATCATTATCACAGATTTTTTTTCAGGGGTTGTTTTCAGTCCTCAGTTCTTCCAAGTGCCTGATGATTTCATAGCCCCTATAGAGACTGACTTGGAGAAGTTGCTGGCCCACCCTAGCTGGGATCTGCTGTCCATATCCCTGTGGATGTTGCTGCTTCCATACTGGAAATACGTGTGGATTTCAATGGCAGTTAGAAATCATCGCTCTCCACCCAAATTGTGACCAGCCAAGGAGACTGCATCACTTGCTCAGATCTTGGGAGCTTTAATTGAGGAAAAGCAACTTCAGAGCGTGTTTTCAGGGCCTTCATCTTCCAGACAAGTGAGAACCACCTGACCACCTCTTTTAGCTTTCCCTCTTGTAAAAGAGGAGGAAAATGAGGGGTTTTGCCTTTTCAGAGGAGCTGCAGGGCTGGCAGTGAAGATCCCGGGTGGGAAGCCCTTTTCTGGTGCAGGAGGGGAGATTGGATGTGTCCACCTGCATCTCAGAAGGAGCTTTTCTGGTCAGTGCCTTGTCCCCAGGATCAGCCCCCATGGGGACATGGTGCTGCCCACGTGCAGGTGCTCAGGGGAGGTCACTGTCCCTGTGACTCCCACGCCATGTGCATCTCAGCCACAGAGAAATAAATACCCTCTTCTGCCTGGGGACACCTTTTAATCTTCTTGCTAGATTTTCATACACTAGTCCAGACTCTCAACTGGGCCAGGCATGATCTCATTTAGCATTCCATCCACAGAGTCTGCTAAACCAAGGCTGCTATTTTTATGCCACGTGCTGGTAGGGGCTGGGGCCGCTCTCATTGGTGGCACGGGGGGGTTCCCACCACCTATTGCATCTGCCAGTACTTTGCCCCAGAGGTGAAAACATCCCGTGGAGGTGGCCACCTGGATCAGCATCCTCACTGTTGGGAAGCTCAGCAGGCCCTTACAGGACACTTGTGGGCAGCAGGTGCCAGAGCAGCAGCAGCTCTCCAGCGACCAGGCAGCTGCCAGGTTGCTGTGCCAGGGGCTGCATCGGCAGAAGCCACCACAGTTCCTCGAGTGGGTCTGGCCCCATGTCCACAGCCTGTGGAGCTGGTCTGGCCCTGTGTCCACAGCCTGTGGAGCTGGTCTGGCCCCTGATACACTGCTCATCGCCAGGTTTCCAAACGCACACCGGACCTCACGCTGCGCGGGTAATTCAGGCTCGCAAGGGGGTTATTAAAATCCATTCAAAGCTACTGACAGTCTGTTCGGTGTTAATGTCAGTGGCTGAGAGGCACAGCAGGAGCAGGTGGAGAAGGACTTTGATTCCCCCACTCTAATTTCCAAGCGGGGTGGGCTTGGCCGGCAGTGATGGGAAATGAGGAGCGGTGCCGGGTAGGAGCGTGTGGTGCCGTGTCGTGTCTCACACAGCAGACAGGTGGGATTCACTGTTTAATCCCATCAGCCAAACATTTCACTCCATGTTTTGCTTGACAGCATCTATCCCTTGCTGGCCATTTCAGAGGCACATTAGCTGCCAGGATCCCAGCAGGTGAGTCTGCCTGAGCAATCAGCTCTGGTGCAGTGGCTGGGAAGGTGCTGCTCCACACCAGACTCCATCGAGTCCTGCAGGCAGATTGGGCATCACACCCAGGCACTTCCCATAGGGTGCATTTGGGGTTTCATACACCTCTTCCCCCAAGTTCAGCCTTGGGTCTGTGCTAGCTTGCAGCCCTACGAACCTGCTGGGGATGAAAGAGGGGGGCTGGAATTTGCTCATGTTGGTCAGGTGAGTCCAAACCATCCCCTGGATTTTGAAAAAAGCTGGGTAATTTCAGGATGTGGCTAGCATCATGCAGGCTAAGATAAGAGTAATCGGAGCTCCGGACCATAAGCCGATTCCTTGCATATGACAGGAAGGAATTAGCCCCGTCTCTCCACCCTGTGCCTCCCAGCAGCATTTGTACACATGGGAGCACACCTGGCAGGAGGCTGAGCCACAGGGACACGCATGTCCCAACACAGGGTGACAAGGATCCTGTGCAGGCAGCGCAGAAATCCCACAGGCAGAAAAAGGGGCATGGAAATCTGCTCCAACCATGGTCCACAGGGCAGGTATTGCCCTACCTCCTTACACCAGCAGGGTGGTGCTGGGACCCCCAAGGTCTCCTTCCCAGGAGGTCCCTGCCCTGGTTTTCCCCTGGTTTCAGCATCTTTTTGCAGCGGGGATTCCTCCACATTGGCTGAGAAATGCATTGCAGTCTCTTAATAGCTCATCCTGGCTGGAAGCTTTTCCTCGTGTGTAAATACAATGCGTATAACAGTGGCCTCATTTCGTACTATGGAAGTGCATCAGACACAGCTAAACGTACAGAAGATGGCTTAAATGATCCAAATTTAACATTTGGTTATGTAGGCTGAATATTTCAGTGAGTTTTTAGGTTAGAAGGCGCTGTAATTGGAGTCTGACCTCCTGGATAGTGAATTTTACCCAGGGATTTAAAGCAAGTCTGACCATTAAGCTTCATCCTTCTGACAGACAAAAATTAGTCTGGTTCATAAGCAAGGGGGGGGCAGCTGCTGGAGGCAGACTGGTTACAAGCCACAAGATCAAAATGTTGAACAACATCTCTGAAGGGCAGCAGGTCCTGGCTGACAAATACTGCCACAAACCAGGTTATTTTGCTTTAGTTCTGAGGTCAAAGCCAGTGTTCAAAAGCAATATTTGGGGCCGCTGTTTTCACTTAGGAAACTGGTGCTATTAAAAAATCAACAGTTTTAGAGAAAAGTGAAATTCTAATGGTTGCCAGCAATTGGCCAGATGGGTCACAATGAGGTGGTTTAGGGTGACAGGACCACTGAGGAGATGTGTGGCACCAGCAGACCCAAGTCCCATCCCCTGTCCCTGGGGAGAGGGGCCAGGGAGGCGGGAAGGAGCTGCATCTCCCTGCAGCCGGCATCTCGTGCCACGTGGCAGGTTACCAAGCAGCTGAGAGTGGGCAATGATGTCTTTTGCCAGTTTTCTAATTTATCTAATGAGCAAGAAAATAAATCAAGCTGACAGTCACCCAGGTGGTTTTGAGCCTCAGCTCCTCACAGTCCCCTTGTTCTTCCAGCCCATTTTATAACAGGGTTACAACCCGAGGACACAGCACTAACTCCTGCTATAATCTTTTCTTTACTAACGTCACTTAGCAGATGGAGTCATTTAGATGTGCTCACGTTTAAATGAGTGGCTTGCCCTGAAAGGGACAGAGCTGAGGCTGCTGGCAAGGTTTTTGGGATCGTTAGCCTAGAAAATGCTTAGCAGGGGAAGCAGTTGGCAGGCAGATTTCACGGACATGGCACTGCTGTCCTCTGCCAGCAAAATTACAAGGCTGAAATCCTGGAGCTGGATGGGGCCAAACTGTTCACAGCAAACAATTTAATTGATGAATGAAGTGAATTGCCCAGGAGACGGTTTTTAGTCATCTGCTCGTTGCATGAAGCTGCTTGGAGAAGGGTTTGCACAGTCGGGTGTCGCCGGAGACCTGCCCACACCAGGGATGGATGGGCTGGATGGGGCTCCCCATCATAGGAACCTTCACTAGAGTCACCTGGACACCTGCTCCCTGAATGAGCATGGCTACCTCCAGGCTTGCCAATCCAAAGGTGTTATGCTTCCCTATAGAAGTGAATGTTCTTAAGCCTTCATGACTAGATCAGTGATGGGACCATGCAAAAGATCTCAGCACTTGGTGCTTGAAAGGGAGCTTGCACAATGTAAGGAAGAACAGCACCAAACTAAACAGCAAAACCTACTTTTCAGTTCCTGCAAGACATTCAGTGGCCGTCTCAAAGGTCTCTCCTGTCTAGCTCCCTGACCCCTTGCACAAGGCTACCTCCACAAGCTCCTTTCATTTGGTCTAATAAAGTAAATTAGCTCTCTGGCTCTTCCAAGGAGAATAGCCATGAAAATGTACATTGAGATGAATGCCTACAACCTTTGAAAATACCTCTTGCTTATGAAAAGGCTTCTGAGGAATGAATAGAAGAGACAATAATTACCAAAAAGGAGGAAATATTGTTCATGCTGCCTGGGCAGCATTTGACCCAGCCCTTGCAGAGGTTGGGGAGAAGAAGGAAGAAGAAGGCAGGGAGCTGAGACACTAATGGCAATCATTGCTCTGTGGGGAACAATATCTCACAGTGTCCGTGGAGATCAATCCCAAATTATTCAGCCTAATAGTTCTCAAAACAAACTCTTATTCTGCTCCTTTGTGGCAGGCATGAAGCTTTCTCTGCAAGGCCCATTTTACATCTTCACTAACTCAGTGCTGGATGGTATAACACTCCATTGTAAAATCCCTGCAGGAGTCTTTGATGCCGGCATCTTCCAGACGAGACACAGAGCTTATCAGCTCAAATAACACAACTGTCTTTTATCCTTTGTGTCCCAAGCCTGCTGTTTTGGCACTTATATTTGTAATTCATTGCCTGGCTCTGGGTCTGGATCCATCAGGACAGGCAAACTGTCTATCTGTCTGCATTGCTGAGATATTTGTGTCTGCCCTGAGGAACCTGAGTACTTAAGCTCTGCTTATCTTCATTGATGTTTAGGTTCCTAATTGGTTAAAAGTCATTTTGGAAAGGTGGTCTCAAGAGCTGTAGACTTGTAGATGCTTTCAAATTGACTACCCCCAGGCCAGGCTGTCCATCTTTCCTTCCCTCCCATCAGGGACTGCATCCTCATGGTCTGGTTTGGCTTTCAGAGATGCCCCAGCACCTGCTGTCCGTCCCTTCCAGACTGGTTCCAACCCATGGACCCGCCTGCCTTTCACCAGCACTACATTTTTCTCAAAAAAATGACAAATGAAGTGGAAGAAGAAAAGGTGAAAACATGATAATGGTTGTGGCAAAAGGCCGCTCCTATAGATTTTACAATGCTGGAAATAGAGGCTCAGAGAAAAAGTTTTTCTCCAAAAATTACTCTTTTCAATCTCAAGAGAACACTGAAAGGAAGTTTAAGTAGACTTTTTAACACCTTTTGTACTCAAATTCCAAATTCACCTGTCTACCCAAGCAATAACAGAAATAATCTTTTTTTATCCAGCTGTACATTTTGCTACAGAAATTTGTTTCCATTAAGCTATTCCCTTTTGTCCTCTTAAAAAGCATGTTTTAAATAATAACAGTGTAAAAAAAATTATATACTATCCAAAAAACTCAACCCTGTCGACTGTGCACTCTCATACAAAAGTTATCTCCTTCTTTCAATGGATTGATGAAAACCCTTTTCATAATGTCAAGGTGGAGATGAGAAAGAGAGAGAAAATTTCTAA